TGTTCATTGCTCCCTACTCCCTGAGCAGGGGAAATCCGTTGAAGTTTACTTCACTTCGGAACATTAATTCACAGATTTGCACTGCGCAGCGTCTTCACACTGGCGACCCCCAAATATTTTATATTAGTATCGACAACAAAGACAAATCTGAAGAAAAAAAACTCACGCAGTTAGGATAGTAAATGAGAATAAAGGGATTGAGTCCGGGGAGTGAATTTCGAGGGAGGACGGCATTTCATTTCCAACTGGTCTGCAGACTGCAGCCAATAAATGCTTATCGATGCGCCTCAGATCGTCAAAGCAGACTGCTTTTTTGTCATTCATTATAACAAACAAAGTGTAGAGAAGATGTAATAATAGATTCAGTGTGCAGTGTAGGGAGCCTCATTAATTAAAATGGAAGTTTGTGAGATCGCAATGAACTAAGAGGAGTGACAGCTTTTTAAAGGGAGTTTGCAAATGTGAAATTGAATTTACCTACAAGAGTAATGTTGTTTCTGGTATTCTGGTCTGTGAGCGTATATGCATTCAGGGGGCGTGGCTTTGGACGGCGATTACAGGTAGGGTGGGACGTTCACTTTCAGTGCTATCAGGCTAAAGTTAGCATTTTCCAAGATCTCCTACTGCACCTTTTTTTTGTAATGTTATGTTTATGCAAAGTGTATTAAATGTAATCTACAAATCATGCAATACTGTAAATAAGAAAGGTTTTGAGGGCTAAGCTAATCAGGCCAATGAGAGACAATTACTAATCATTCTAATTTTTCATTAAATCATTCTTTCATTTCACTAATCAATCTTTTTTTGAACAAATCGATTAAATAAATGATTCAGTGACAAGGCAGTGACATGCTGCCACCTACTGGCGGTTTCAATTTAATTTTAACAATATGAATTGAGTCATTTAAATCGTTTAATATTTCTATATTCAAAATTTTATATTTTAAACATTAATCTCATAACATCGTTATTATGAAAATGCAATACTGTAAATAAGAAAGGTTTTGAGGGCTAAGCTAATCAGGCCAATGAGAGACAATTACTAATCATTCTAATTTTTTATTAAATCATTCCTTCATTTCACTAATCAATCTTTTTCTTTTCTTTTCTTTTTTTTTATTAAACACAAGGGGCTGTATTTTATTATTTTAATAGAATTTATTGTTCAATTAAAATTTTTGATAAAAGTTTATAAATCTAAATGTTTTGGCTCAAAATATGACATACATTTAATAAAGTTTGAAAAATGGGATTACAAAGGTAAAAAAAAAAAAAAAAAACTTTAAGGAGTCAAATATTGCCCTATAAGGTTAATTTCTGTCATTGATCAGACAGTGTTCCTAAAAAAAAATATATATATATATATATATATATATATATTCACAAGGGGCCATTAATGATGCTTACATTATAGCATGTGCAAATTCACACACAAAGTATCTATAATTTGGCCAAAATTGCAGGTGCCTGTCTTAATATTCAAGAAGGTCATAGAGAAAATATGAAATAAATTTAATAGAGAAATAAAATAAATATATTAAATAATAAATGTAATATTATACATTACAAAGAGATTTATAATTAAATACATCCAAAAGGTTTTTTTTTTAATAACCTTTTATTATTTTTTTATATATTATAAATATATATTTATTATTTTACCTTTTATTACCATTATAACCCCCCCCCCGCCGCCAATATATTGCAAGACTTACCATAAATTACCATTTCTTATTTAACTGTTGTACAAAATAATTTCCTAATTTGCACTTGTCACATCTTGATACAGTAAGTAAATGACAATAGAATGTTCAATTTTGGATGAACTAGCTAGCCCAGAGGTGCCCAAACTCGGTCCTGGAGGGCCGGTGTCCTGCAGAGTTTAGCTCCAACTTGCCTTAACACACCTGCTGGGAAGGTTCTAGTATGCCTAGAGGTGGTTTTTGACTCGTGCAAAAAAGGGTTAATGCAAATAATGGGAGATGGAAACGCATTTGCCGAATAAATTCCCACATGCACATGAAAAGTCGTCATGTGACTTTGCGCTATGGGACGCATAGCCTGACTAACCAGCGGACCGATCTTGTTGCACAGCATCTGAAATGTTATGGCCATTCTTAAATGCCTGAGCAAACTCTGTCGTCAAAGTATTTCTGTATAATTGCCTACCAGTCTTACACGACTGCGTTCCCTAAAAGCAGGCATCCACCTCTGAAAGCAATGACCGAATTTATGGTGTTTCATCTGCTCGCTCTGAGGTGCAAGTAATTTAATATATAAGAAAATAATTATATTCAGTGGATTCTCCTACTTTTAGTGATTCTACTTAGTGATATTTAGTACCAGTTTATCAGAAAGTGACGATTTTGTTCTCTTTGACTTCATTGGATGGAAACGGTGCTTATTCGCAAATGTTTTATACAATATTCCAATTTTTCAAAGAAGTTAAATTCGCAACTTTGGATGTAAACCCAGCTAGTGAGACAGCATTTTTTTTTTTATTTTGACACCTTCTTAAAGAATTTGGTTATGAAATAAATGGCAAATAGGTAACTGGATTCAGCCTTGTAGTAGTCCAGTGACTGGGAAAAATGCTCAGTTTGACTCAGTATTTATTAACATCACTTTTCACTAGGGATGCACGATATTGAATTTTTGCTGATATCCGATATGCCGATATTTTTCAACTCTTTTTGGCCAATAGCCGATACCGATATATTGCCGTTTGTTTGGAAACAACACCAAGTCTCTCCTGTGTGGAAATTATAAGCAAATTATTTTTAATTTTGGTTAGTTTTTAACAAGAACTTATTTGTTAGAATTAAGTAAACAATAATGAAGTTATTTTATAATGACAGTACATTGAAGCTTTGAAAATAACTATAAAAATATATCAATCGCTGCATTTTTTCCCCCAGAAAGATGCAGTAGTAACCTTAACATTTTATTTTAAGTTTTAACATCTGTAGATGGTCTAAACCAATAGAGTTGTAAAATTTCTGAAAATATTTTAGAGCTCATAATTTGTTTAAAAAAATATAACATATTACACATTAATGAATAAATCAGTATAGGCTATATAAAATTATTTAATTTACAAGTGTCATGTTTGTGATGCTTTTTTAAAATTCATGTAAGCTATAGCTTCTGACCTTTAAATCAAAACATACTCATGATTTTATGACATCAATTAATGCTTTATTTAACCAGAAACAGTCTAACCCCTGGTTTCACAGACAAGGCTTAAGCCTAGTTCTAGACTAAAATGTAAATCTGAGCTGTTTCAGCTGAAAGAAATTGCACTGACTGATCTTAAAACATGTCAGTGCCTTTGTTTTGTCTTAAGATGCACACCAGTAATGCTTTTTTCTAAGGCATGTTTATAAAAATTACTTAAATGCCCTAATTGAACTATGGCCTAATCCTGGTTTAGGCTAAGCCCTGTCTATGAAACCGGGCCTAAATGTTATTTGCGTATTTTACTTTAATTTTATTAAAAGTAGGCCAACAGCGCCCCCTACGGAATTAAAACTCCTTACCGAATGGGCATTAGGACCCGGGGGAGGCTGCTGCTGCTGCCACCGCACCTGCTATTACGGTTTACTCTATCATACACTGAACACGTCATTTTGTACATGCATTCTCAGTTTAAATGCAGCAATCCAAAACAGTGAATCTAATCATCATTCAGGCAAAACTTTGCTTCAAAAATGAGTAACACTGCTGACATGATGTAATCGCTAGCACACCTTGAGCAGATGTGTTAACGTAGCCTGTTCTTCTTATCGGCATAATTTTTCATATCGGGCCGATGCAGATATGTACATTTAAAGCCATTATCGGCCGATTCCGATATCGGTCTGATAATATCGTGCATCCCTACTTTTCACCTGTCTAGATATCAAATGGAAAAAAAATTTGATATTCAAAACTGACTGAAAGTCTTAAACTCCTCAAATGTACAAAATTCCACTTCATTTTAGCTGCATATCAAGTAGACTTCCAAGACATAATTTCACATTTAATGATCTACAACAAACTAAGAAAGCTTTAGATCAAATAACGTCTACAGTACCAGTGAATGAATAGAATAATTGTACCTACTTTATAATGTGCTAACATTTAAACAAAATGTACCAACATTTAAATGAATGATTTGTACATATATTTAAAAAATACCTCCATGTAATTACATCTATAACTACACGGCTGACTCTACTACTACCCTGTAACCCAACCTTAAACTAAGCATATCACGAAAACCTGTCCCTAACCTTACCTAGTAGCAAGTGCTTTGCACTTTTGCACTTACCTTTGCACTTACCTAAAACTTTAACTATCGTTTTGCTACCTTGCAAGCACTGTTATTACCTTCAGGAAATGTATGTTTGCATAACTCAATCAATATATAACTCAATCAGAGAACGTGTTTGCACTCAACATTACACACCAATAAACTTAAAATTAAAAGTAAAATGGAAGGAAAGTTTAAGCAACACAATGTTATGGTTCAGAAAAAAAAATCAATTGTAATAGCAATTTAGGAATTTAAGTGGGAAGTTTACAGTGCTGGTAAAGGCCATGTCCGTGGTCACCTCTGGGCCTCCAGGGCCCTGCTCAGATTTGATGGTGGGGTTGAGAACTGCTTTCTTCTCCTTTAGGTTAAGCACAAGACCCAACTCAGGCAGCGGAAGACAGGAGGGTTGGGTCAGCCCAAACAGAGTGTGATACAGATTCACTGCATCACATCGTAAACGCCAGTCATGACAGGTACCTAAGACACGCACAGAGAGACATAAATTGCAACATATCAGAATCAGAAAGAGCTTTATTGCCAGGTATTTTTACACATACAAGGAATTTGTTTTGGTGGCAGAAGCTTCTACTACACTAACAGGATGACAGTGACAAGACAAGACAAGACAAGACACAGATAATAAAAATTATAAAAATAGAATAAGTAATATATACCAAAAAAGTAAAATATACATACAGTGCCTATAAAAAGTATTCATACCCCTTCATTTTTTTTCACGTTTTGTTATGTTACAGCCTTATGTTAAACTACTTTAAATAACTTTTTTCCACATCAATCTAGTAGAATCTACATACTCCATACACCATAATGACAAAGCAAAAAAATAAATAAAAAAACAGGTTTGTAACAACTTTGCAAATTTATCAGAAATAAAAAACTGAAATGATTCCATTGCATAATTATTCATACCTTTTTCTGAGACATTCATATCGCTTGTAGATGTTACTACACTTTGAGCGGCGTTAACCTGTGGCAAATTCATTTGAATGGGTATGATTGGGAAAGGCAGCTGAAAATGCGTATCAGAGCAAAAACCAAGCCCTGAGGTCAAAAGGACTGCCTGTAGAGCTCTGAGACAGGATTGCGTCAAGCCACACATCTGGGGAAGAGTTCAGAAAAATATTCTGCTGCGTTGAAGGTTCACAGAAGCATGTAGCCTCTATTATTCATAATGGAAGAAGTTTGGAAACACTAGGACTCTTCCTAGAGCGGGCCTCCTGGCCAAACTGAGCAATCGATGGAGAAAGGTCTTGGTTAGACTGGTGACCAAGAAGCAGATGGTCACTCTATTTGAGCTCTATGATCATATGTGGAGATAGGAGAAACCTACAGAAGGACAAACATCACTGCAACACTCCACCGATCTGGTGTTTATGGCGGTGTGGCCAAGCTCAATCCTCTCCTCAGTGAAGACTAGGGCTGAACGATTTTGGAAAATAATCTAATTGCGATTTTTTTTAACCAATATTGCGATTTAATATGCAATTCTTTTTTAAAGCTCTTTATGTTCTGTATTATTCAACAAAGACAAGCTATAAATCATTGTATAGTATGACCAACACACTATTAGATAGATTAAACATAAATGTTCTTATAGGCCAGGACTATATGTTACGATGAAATTAGGTGATGCATGAATTGATATGAATGACATTTTTATTTAACAACTACAATCACAGTATATTGACTGATTTGTTGAACTTCCAATCTTGTAAGCATGTAATAATTATGACAACATAAAGCACTGACAAATAAGCCTGGTGTAAACATTAATATGAAAGTCAGTTAGGCCAGGCCTATATGTTACGATGAAATTAGGTGATGCATGAATTGATATGAATGACATTTTTATTTAACAACTACAATCACAGTACATTAACTGATTTGTTGAACTTCCAACCTCGTAAGCATGTAATAATTATGTTTAAATAAGCCTGGTGTAAACAATATGAAAGTCAGTAACAAATCACACAAACTAAAGTAGATTGCAGAAATATAAAAACAAATCTGTTGCTTTACCTCACTACTTTAGGTAATTCAAAGTCACTGTAATAAACATATGTAAACACGTGGACTGCACTTTTTAAACACTGTCTGTTAACTTTAGACCAGTGGTTCTCGAACTTTTTTGGTCGCGCCCCCTTTTAAACCTATAAAAAAATCTGCCCCGCCCTTCCTATGCTGTCCGCTAAGGCATAGGACACACACAGGCTTTCCTCCTCACCAACGACATTAAACACCGTGTCTACACCGGACACGAGTGGCAAAATACAGTAGAACCACTGATCTATAATAGAGAACATTAATAACAGTCATTATATAGATCAGTGAGTAGAACCCATTATAATCAGTGACACTGTCTACACTAGATGCGGCGCGGCGCGGCACGACATGACAAAACCCGACATTAAACTGATGCCTTGTTCTATTTATGACGTACTGACACAAAGTTAAAATGATTTGCAACGGT